CTAATGGTAACCCGTGCTATGCACGGGACTTTATAAATAAAATTAAAAAAAAATCATTATAAATATGTAAAAATAATTTAATATTTTATCTTGTGATATACATGAAATTTATAAGTTAATTTTTATATTTATAACTTTCAAATTATTAGTTTTAAACAATTAAAAATATATATATCTATTTAGTACAATTTTGATAATTTGTAATAATAAAAAGAATTAAATCTAATTAAATGAGGTTACATGAGTTATGACACGCCTTTTCTTATTATGAAAATATATAAATTTAAAAATTAAATTAAGACAAATATACAATTTTATTATTAAATGTGAAGTGAAGTGATATTTAACAATAATTGATATGATATTTTTATTATTAATCCAATAATTTAAGTTACATTTCTTTTGGTTTTAAATTCATAACTAAAATAAAATATGAATATAATACGCTCACAGATTTCTAGTTTTTAAGAATAAGAAGGTTTTAAAATATTTCCAACCTTTCATCATTTTCTTTTAATTTTATTTATCTAATTTGATTTTAAATTTGAATAAAAAATTTGATTTCATATGAATTACTTTAACTTTTTCATTAAATTTTTATCATTTTTTAAAAGAATTTTCATTCTTATCTCAATTTTCTTTTCTTTTCATCAATTTTTATGAAAAAAAACAATAATTTCCAACGCTTCATCTTTTTAAATTTTTATCAAATTATAATTCGATAAAAAAAAATATTAAGGGTTGAAATTTCTCTTAATTGGAATTATAGTGAAATAACATCTTGAAATAATGAAAGTTTGAGTATGTGATTGGTTGAAATGCATAATTTGATTAATTCTCATCTCATATTTGTATAAAAATTGACAGTTATGACCACATCATTATAAGTCAGATTATGCAAAAAAAATTTGAGGTGCAAATGTTTTTCATTTTTAAATATCCTATTGATGTTTCAATTTAAAAAATTAAAAAGTATAAAAAAAAATATATTGAGTTTTTTTGGAGATAAAAGAAATCATCTAACTCCTCTATATATTATTTTAAGATGGACTATTTTAATCACATAAAAAAATATAAATTATATTTGAAGATTATCTCTATATATTATGCTATTATATACAAATATAGCAGTAACAAAATAATTAATATATATGAAAAGTTATACTAATTTTTCATTTTCAATTAATTGAATTATGATTAACAAACTAACAAATAGCAGTAATGGTATAATAAGATAGAAAAATGATAAAAATAAAAAACACAATGATATTTAAAAGTTTTAAATTTATCAAATTATACAAAAATCTAATGTTATAGTACAATCTTGAATTCCCAATAAACTTCACATTTTTTATAAAATAAAATAACAATAAAATAAAAAATTTGATACTCATTTTTTTACTTCAATTTTACTGTTTTCATTGGAAAAACAAAAAAACAAAAATTCGATCAAAATCCTCGGTACAGAATGGGCATAGATACTTCGATTGCAACTATCATCACCAATAATTCTTCTTCACAATGTAAACCTGTAAACAAACACATAAATTTTACTAAAATCGAAACTGATACCAAAACCAAACCAACAACATAAAAAGAGAATTACACAAGAAAAAAATAAAATTAAAAAATAAATAAATTTATGAAGTGGTAAGATATTACCCCCAACAACATAGACCTTGCCCTACCTAATCCGTTAGCTTTTCACCCTGTACCCGCGAAGTTATCTCGGTATATATATGTTATTATATACAAATATAGCGGTAACAAATTAATTAATATATATGAAAAGTTATACTAAGTTTTCATTTTCAATTAATTGAATTATGATTAACAAACTAACAAATAACAGTAATGGTATAATAGGATAGAAAGAGGATAAAAATAAAAAAACACAATGATATTTAAAAGTTTTAAATTTACCTAGTTACACAAAAATCTAATGTTATAGTACAATCTTGAATTCCTAATAAATTTTCACATTTTCTATAAAATAAAATGATAATAAAAATAATAATAAAAAAAATTGATTCCCATTTTTTTACTTTAATTTTACGGTTTTCATTAAAAAAAACAAAATTTGATCAAAATCCTTGGTACACAATGGGCATAGATACTTCGATTGCAACCATCATCACCAATAATTCTTATCTACAATGTAAACCTATAAACAAACACATAAATCTCACTAAAACCGAAATCGAAACCAAAACCAAAACCAAACCAACAAAAAAAAAAAAAAGAGAATTACACAAGAAAAAAATAAAATTAAAAAACAAATAAATTTATAGAGTAGTAAGATATTATCCCCCAACAACATAGACCTTGCCCTATTTAATCTGTCAACTTTTCACCCAGCCCAGTACCCGCGAGATGACTAATCAGATTATTATTTATAAAAGATTTGAAAATTAATTAATTTGTCTCATTAACTTATTTAAAATTTTGATAGATATACATCAAGAAATAAAAAATAAAAAATAGATAACTACAATCCAAATTAGATATAGTTATATCTTTTTGGGATCTATATCTAAATTCTTATCTTCTTTATTTGTGTGTGGTTTATATTTGTTTTGTTTTCTTCAATTTATTTAAGATGGAATTGTGGGTTTCTATTTTTTTCAATTTAATTTATTTATGTTTTTTTAATTTAATTTAATACTTATCTTCTTTATTATTATTTAGGTAAGTTATGATGTGAGTTAGATATGTGATAAACATGTGAATTTTATTGATTTAAAGTATGATGGTATGAGATATTTTCAAATTAGATTTGTTTGGATAAATTTTAAAGATTTTTAAAATTTAAAATTGGATATGAAGAGGTAAAAGAAAGATTTTAACTAAACAAATAAAAATTATAAGGGTCCAGCTTGTCTCAAGTTGAGATCAAGACTGGACCCGTCCAGTTCGGCCCATGGGGCTCATTTTCTGGGCCTGTTTTGATAATCTGAACTGTTCAATGTGTAGAACTCATCGAGTACTACATGTCTGTAAAATATCACGTTGATCGGATATCAATAGCTATGTGATCAAATCAGTTTTGTATAAAAAAAATACACAGTGAAAAAATAAACGGTTGATAAAAAACTATTTTGTTCACATAGCTATCGATATTCGATCAGCGTGATTTTTTACAGACATATAGTACTCGATGAGTTCTACACATTGAACGGTTCGGATTATCAAAACGGGACCCGTGGTGGGCCCTCACGGGTCCAACAGCACGGTCCAGTCCGATCTTGGACTGGACCAAGGCCACTACCAAATTATAATTATTAATTTTATCTGTTTATATATCTGATTTTTAATTTTTTTTTGGTTATGTTATAATATAATATATAAGATATAGATAGGTATCCACAATTCTCATGAAAAATATTATCTGATTTTTTGAGAGAGCGAAAAGGAAGACAAGTTTTAATATTTTCTTTTAGAAATCAATGGCAGAAATTAGAACAGAGAGATTATTAAATATTTTTGTTATCTTTCTATTTGAAATCCATAAATTAAGGGATAACTATTATTTTCAAAATAATTAAATATGTATGAGAGAAGGTGAAAAGGGGAAATAATTATTATTTCAAAAATAATTAAATAGATATGGGAGAAGTCAAAAAGGTTTGAGAGAAGTCATTAAGTGCTGAGATTTTTTTTTTTTAAATGAAAAAATCAAAAAATTAAAATTGAAATATTGAAACTCTCACAATTCTTGTGAGTTGAAATCTCTTTCTCCTTATATAATATACTAGCATATCACCCATGCTATGCACGAATTGTGTTTATAATTATTTATTTATGTGAATTGCGATTTTTAAATGTCTTTTTTTTTAAATGTCTTCTTTTTTTTCTTTTTTATATTATATTAAAGTTTAATATTTTGATAATAATCATATGCGTTAGATTTTTCAAGGAATTAAATATTTTTTTTATTATATTATATTAAAGTTTAATATTTTAATAATAATCATATGTGTTGGACTTTTAAGAATTTTTTTTTATGCTTATTCTTAATGCATTAAAGTGTTATTATGAAGGATAATAATCATATATGTTAGAACTTTTCAAAGAATTCATATATGTATTGGATTTCAAAGAATTTTTTTTATGCTTGTTCTTAATGCATTAAAATGTTATTATGAGGGTAAGACTTGGGGGTTGGGAGAAGTTAATAAATGTTAAGATTTTTTTTTTAAATCAAAAAATCAAGAAATTTAGATTAAGAGATTGCAACTCCCACAAGACTTGAGATTAAAAATCTCATTTTACTTAATATATAGTATAAATAGATATAAACACAACTAAAATATAGTGCCAAAAAATTGGCCGTTGAACCATGTGCTATAAACAATTTTCCAACATCAACAGTTTACGATGATTATATAAAATTAGTGACAAGATCTAATTTAATCTAATCTAATCTAAACTTATAAGAGTCTGAAAAATCAATTGATTAATCTCAAAAAAGAAAAAAGAAAAAAAAAGGCAGTCGATAGCAAGGTGTTCGGAAAGCCGAATTGTAAGAATTATTTTTAGAATCAAGCACTTAGAGAGTTCATGAAAAAAATTAGTGTAATGTAACAATGATACTGGTGACATAGTATCACCAACATATATGTGAAAAATTAACTCTTATTTTTTAAAACTCGAAAGATAAATGATAAAAAATTATTAAACAGTGGGTGTTCCTACCCAAAAAACTTTAAACCAAATTAGGAGATGGATAGATGGATACCTTATCATTACCACCCCAGTCCCCACCTCACTCCGATCTGTCTGGTCGGTGCATAGATAGATTACCCATGCAAAGTAAAATATACTCGATACTCTCGCCCCCATCTCTTCTCTTGTATGCCATCCATCGGATTTCTAACACGTGTCCCCCCATAACACCAGACAAAGGGAGAGATACAAAATCAGACGACCCAGATTAAAAAACAGAAGACTAGACACTCATAGCGAGCTGTTTATAAGAGGGACTTCACAGCGAACAAAATTATCCGTCACTTTCAAGCTTAAAACCAAAGAAATACACAGAAGAAGAGTAGTGTTGTTTGTTGGGATATACTATATATATATATAGAGAGAGAGAGAGAGAGATATCATATTATTATAGTTGTGCAACAACTTTGTATACAATTTCTGGGGTGGGTTATATCATCAGAGTGATTAGCAGTGAGTAAAATGGGTGCTCTGGATCATCTCTCAAATATCTTTGATTGTTCCGGAGGGAGTTCCAAACTCAAAAGACGCAAGCAATTGCAGGTACCCCCCTCCTACTTTTCTTGCATCCTCTTCTTTAATATCTCTGTTTTTGTGTTTGATTTCTAACTTTTTATATTTTAAGATTAATTACATCAAAGATTTCGTTTTAACTATTAAAGTTAATTTTGTAACTCGTATGTTTCGATTCCTCAACTATGGCTCATTTTGGGAACACAGTTATAAGTGGCGTTTTGGCTTATTGCTCAAACGTTTGAAGTAGCTTTTTTGGCCATAAATTGATTTCGGATTGTGGTCGTAAGCCAAAAGGGAAATTACGAAATTACCCTCCATAGGTGGAAAATGACACGATGAAAATGTGTAATTTTTCAATTGGATAGGGATAGTTTAATTATTTTATTATGATTTGACATCATAAATAAATATTAATAAAAAAAATCAAAAGTAATTTTTTACCAACTTCTCAAATCATTTGTCTAAAAAAGTGATGGTTTGTGATGATCTAAATAAGTGTATTTTTTGATTTTTTAAGAAATATGAGTTGGGTTTAAAGTGATGTGATAGAGAAATGATGTAATTTAAATAAGATGATATGACTTAAATAAGATGGTAAATTTTTGAGTTTTTAACCTTTTTTTTAATATATCCCAAATCTTCTCAAAATAAACTTATAAATTCAGTCATTTGAAAAGAAATTTTTAAAAAAAAGGTAGAAAAAATAGGTGTAAGGTGCAGGTAAAATGCATTTATTCACATTTCAAATCTTTTTTTGAAATTCATTACGCGATAGTTCCAACTTCCAATCCCAGCGATGATATCAAAAATAATTTCAGAAAAATCATCTTAAAGTAGTGGCTGTTTGATTTTAGAAACAGTTATTGTACAACACTCTAATTGCACTCTCCACTCACTCTAGAATTTGTAATCACTGTTGGGAGTTCATTATCACATCAGGATCTGACAGTACTTTACTAGCAAAACGACAGTACTTTTGTCGCCTTTTGACTTTGATATCCAATTTTTTGCAAGGCTATTGTAGTCATTTCACTCATCTTTTTCCATTTCGAATCGTATCTGGACCGTCCACGTGGCGGGATCTTCCAGAAACCTCCGGTTTTGTCGGGTCGGTGGGCCCAAACCTCTTTCTGGATCTTGCTGAACTGTGTTCCCCTCTCACTAACATACAGAGTGTATCATCATCCCCTGGAAATTGCCCCTACATCTTTACAATACATTCATTACCCAATAGCATTATGCCACACTAACTCACAAACATACATATATGCATTATTATGTGATCGATTTTTTTTCCCTACTTGAATTTCATAACCACGTGGCGGGATCTTCCAGAAACCTCCGGTTTTGTCGGGTCGGTGGGCCCAAACCTCTTTCTGGATCTTGCTGAACTGTGTTCCCCTCTCACTAACATACAGAGTGTATCATCATCCCCTGGAAATTGCCCCTACATCTTTACAATACATTCATTACCCAATAGCATTATGCCACACTAACTCACAAACATACATATATGCCTTATTATGTGATCGATTTTTTTTTCCTACTTGAATTTCATAACAAGTTGTGATGGTGTGATATCAGACGGTGGAGATAAAGGTGAGGATAGACTGCGAAGGATGCGAGAGGAAGGTGAAGAAAGCAGTGGAAGAAATGAAAGGAGTGAAATCGGTGGAGGTGGACCCCAAACAGAGCAAGCTCACCGTGGTCGGATACGTGGAACCGGCCAAGGTGGTGGCTCGGGTGGCCCATCGGACGGGCAAGAAGGCCGAGCTCTGGCCTTATGTCCCCTACGATGTGGTGGCCCATCCTTACGCGCCAGGTGTGTACGACAAGAAGGCCCCACCTGGGTACGTGCGGAACGTGGAGGACCCACAGATAGCTCAGCTCGCACGAGCCAGCTCTACTGAAGTTCGCTACACCACTGCCTTCAGTGATGAAAACCCTGCTGCTTGTGTTGTCATGTGATGTGTTTGTGTCATTTCCATGCACAAAAAGTGTGGTGATTTTGAACTGTGATATGTCTTCTTTTGAAGATTGTGTGAATCAATTGGTAATTTTACTTTTACTTTCATTGCATTCGCCTTTTTTCAAAGAACCAACCTAGGAGAGCATCTCTAGCAATATTTAAAGTGTAATGTTTGACTATAATTGTGTTATTACAAAAGACTTGGCTTGTCTCCTCTCCTGTCTAAATAATTGATCAGAGGTGCTTTTGGCCTCACTATGAGCCGACCACAAGTCAAGATTTGAAACACAAAAAGAGAAATAGCAAAGCAATACATTGAATACTTTTTACTAGATTAAGAATGAGAAGGCTGAGTACATAAGCCGCTGGAGCTTCATGAAATACCAAAAAGTTGATCTCTCCCTGCAAGTCCTACTATGGAACCATTAAGCATTCTACTGTATGAAAAATTTATGCCAACTCAAAAATGGCTAATGTTGATCCTTACGTAAAAAATATGAGAGCAGCTCTAAAGCCCAACAGCAGGGTAGAGAAAGATAACTAAACTAGGACACAAAATTATGACATTATGGGAAGATGGACTTTGAACTTCAGCAAAACTAGCTATATCTCCACCTGATTAGCTTCTCTTCAACTAGCCGTTGCTGCACGATTACCTCCTGATAGAATAAATACAATAATAATAATCAGTTAAAAAAAGAAGCAGCAAACTATGACAAGTCAAGTCCTCAAATTGCATCCAATTTATTGTTTACAAAAATGTAAATGCTAGTACTTCATCATGTCTCCATTTCAGCATTTAACAATGTCACGACCCCAATCTGCCCCTAAAGGTTAGAGAGGTGACCGGCCAGTAATCATACATTACCTAAGGCCTCTGAACAAATCTGAAATATATTTTTTACTATTGGGGTCTGAATCGGAAGCAAAACAGAAATGTCATCGTCCATTGAACAGTGCATTCATGATATAACAAACAAATATTTATAGTTACATACACACATTAAATAGATTACATCAAAAGCAAGCATTCATATTACCAAAATTCTAAATTAAATGATTACACAAAACTATTTTCCAAAGGAGGCAACGGGGGCCTTCGCTCGGGTGGCATTTCCAAAGGCTTCACAAAAGTTGTTGAAAGTAAAACTCTAAGCTTGATCTCCCAAATGCTCACCTGCATATATAAGGGAGGGGGGTGAGCCAAAACCCAGTGAATAGCAATATAGTAAGGTGGTTAATGAATAAACACCACGAAAATTTTCATTAAAACCAAATACAAACTCATTTCGAAATAGAATAATTTTCATATGTTAACAAAACATTACTTGCATACATTTATATAGTGATGGGCATTCCCATAACTTGGCAGATAATCCACAGTAGGTAGCAAAGAGCTCAGTTAATACAGAAGTTATTGGCATGATTCCCTATAACTAGCAGAAGTTATTGGCATGATTCCCAATAACTAGCAGAATTCAAGATATCATCGCATTACTAGATACGAAAGTGTATGGTGTTCATTCATAACAAAAAAATAATATACTTTCTTAAACATATCATATGTTTGCATTTCGAATCATAGCTTTAAGAACATAACTTTACTATACTACTACTCACAAATGGCCCCGGAAGCAAGGGTGAAACTTCTTCAAAGCTTAACCTACACAAAACAAGGACAAGCATTGAAATTCAATTCAACTTGCAAGTCTTAATCTGAATTCAAGTGTTCTAATCATGTCTATTGTTTTCTAATCCTCTTTTCTAAATTTTTCAAGGCTTAGCTATGACTTAATTTGTTTGCCTCTAGATTAGTGAAAGTATTCTAAGTGGCTTAATGCCTTCTTAGTTCTTATTCACATTGATTAATCCCTTAAACTCAAGTGTTGATTGTGGCATTAAAGTACCTAGATTATTTGTATAAACATGACAAATTGAGTGTCTTAAACTTGGTTAGATGTTTCCCTAATTTCTCTTAAGTGTTTAATGCTAATCTTTTCTACATGTGAATCACGTACAAAGCATGTGCCAAAGACGTACTTTGGATAGCCCTAAATGTTCAGGACTTATATTAATGTTTCCTAATCTTTCTAAGCTCAATTCAATTATTAATCGTGTGCTAAATATGCATATTGAAAAGCCGTAGGTATCCTAAAACAATTTCATATGTTTTTCATTGAAAATACCATGTTTACATATTTAAGGTTTAAGGAATAGCAAGAAATGAAAGGAAACTAAGTTAGGTAGGAAATGGCATGAAACGGTTAAAGAGAAAATGAACAGCTTTCACTAATTTGAGTATATCTATTTGTGTACTTAGAACTTGGGTGTGAGACTATCACCATTAGAAACTAGATTTCCGGGGCTTGAATTTAGACTCAAGAATTGCTTAAAACGAAGTCCGAATGAGAGAAATATGCCCATTTAAAGTCGGACTAAAACGGGTTGTCGCACGTGCGGGGACGGGTCCGCACGTGCGGAAAGTGCTGTTCCAGAACCCCTGTTTTGGTCCGAAAATCTCACTTTTTTCTTATCTATTTCCCTTTCTTTTCAGGGTTCCAAAATATGATTTTAATCTCATAAAACTTCTAAAATTTTTATGAAATCATCATCCTTTTCAAGGCATCAATCTTAAAATATAATTAGGCCTCGTTTGGCATGTGCTTGTTTTAGTCTAAAAATCAAAAAGTTATTAAAAAAATCAAAAAGCCTATTATCTATACCAAAAAGTCAAAGATTTCCTTTATTCTTTACTTTTTGCACATCTTTTCGTAAAAAATAAAAAATCGTTCCAAACATACTAGGCTTTGTTTGGTAGAGCTTTGGAACTTTAATTCCACCCCTTGGTTTGCACGTGATGTTTGCTTACAGTTTTCATAAATTGATTCCACACCCACTTTTCAAAACACATCTACATGGTCATCCCCTCGGACGTTCCCCGGACGTCCGGCTAGTTGACCGGAACAGTGTTTGTGTCTTTTTTTTTTTTTGCACCTGTTATTTTTATTCTTTAAATAAAAAATATTTAGAAATTTTTTTTAAAGTTTTTTATGAGTTTTAAATATAATTTTGGGTTGTGTGTTTGGTTAAATTTTTGAATCAAATATCATATGTCACATCACTCAATTCAAAACTCATAACCAAACAAATTTTTCACACTCAAATCACAATTCTAAAACTCACAAACTCAAAATACAACTCTATTCTCAAATCATAATTCTAAAGCTCTACTAAACGCAACCTTAGTTTTTTTTTACCTCATATTTAGCCAAAAAGTTACTAAACAAGGCCTTAGGTCTCGTTTGGCAAGTAGCTATTTTAGCCTAAAAGCCAAAAAGTTACTAAAAAAATCAAAAGCCTATAACTTATACCAAAAAAATCAAAAGCGTATAACTTATACCAAAAAGTCAAAGATTCTCTTTTCTCTCTAGTTTTTGCACATCTTTTCGTAAAAAACTAAAAAGTCACTCCAAAAATATTAGTTTTTTGTACCTCATATTTTAGCCAAAAAGTCAAAAAGTTACTAATTCAAGATACAAAGATCAAAACATATGTTTTTCTTAAGGAATTCATGAGTTCTATTTCTTCTATTCAAACTCTCACTTCTACCCTTTCAAAACATGAATCAAGTCATCAAAACTCTTAGAAATCATATAGATACATGAAGATAAAGCCTCGAAGGCATCAAAAATATCAAAACCTAGATGAAATTAGCATGAATCAAAGGCACTTAGCTTGTTCTTCATCCTACCCCTTTCTTTTCCATTTTCTTCCTCCATAACTTTGTTTCTAACTCAAACTAATCTTAATTTCTTCTTAATCTTGAATAATAGGAAGCTTTTCTACAAAGATTAAGTTAGGAATCTTACCTTGGAACACTTTTTAGGTTGAATTTATTGAAATTCTTGAGCCCTCCCTCTTCTTTCTCTTCTTTCTTCTCCCTTTTCTCTCTCGTTCTCTCTTTCTCTCTGTCGATTCTCTTTTCTGCAGGTCGTTCTCCTATTTGTTTGATTAGAACAAGAGATTTTATCTGGTGTGGTGGGCCACAACCTATACAAGGTTACAAGGTTCATTAATTTACTAATCTTGATTACTTAGCTTAACTAATCTAGGTTAGGACTAACTAATTGAGGTTTATACTTAATCTTACTTAACCTAATTAATCCCAATTAAGGTTTCACTAATCATTCTTAATTAACACTAATCCCGATTAGTAAATTTTTTATAAAATGAAATGATCGAGCACATTAGGTCAAGATCATTAAGCTCCTCAATTAATACTAGGGCTCATGTTATGATTCTCAACTTAGGTCTCAAGTCTTCCCCTAACTCTTTAGTAACATATATATATATATATATATATATCTATTTCTAAACTTGAATTATTTTATTAAAACATATTTCTATTTCTACTTTGTCTTAAGTTTATTAATTGCTCATGCATATCCTCTATGTTATATGGACCCTTCAAAATAAATTAAATATCTATGTCGGACACCCGACACACGGGCAAGGGTGAGGGATATGTGTCCGATACTTTCCATTGGACTGTTCTCATATATTTGTATTTAACACCATCTTACATGTATCATTTGTTGTGTATTTGCTATAAAACACATTCTTGACGTTGTATGTTACATATGGTACCATTTTATCTCACATAATAGATTAAAAATATAAAAATGTAACTTTTTTTGCCGAGTCCTCATACTCTTAAATTTCAGATTTGATGAGTCCAACCTCTGGATATGCACCCACACCTGACACCCGTATCCAAGTCCATGTAACATAGCATATCCCCACATTTGACCATTCTTTCTTCAAAGCTTTCTAACTATTTATTTCTACATACATATATTTTTATATTAAATATTCCACATACTAAAATGGTTCGTTTTACTTAAGATATTCAAGGATGATTATTAATAAGGCAATGGCACGTGGTATTCATTGGAGTGTCACAAACAATTTCCCACTATCTTGCAACTATCTTAAAATTGTCAAAATTTTGCCAGGTGACAATATCAAATGGACCAAAACAAGGCCTCTCTCCATACAAGAGGGTTAAGTGAAGAGTATAGATGCAGTACTAATCTTTCTTATAGATTAATTTGAAGAATGTCTTGACCTTGTCATCCATTCTTTCAAGAAAAATAATGTAAATGCTCTATCTGGGCTCTATCCGGGCTACGCTTCACTTTCTATTCATTCTTTCCTCTTAAACAGACCAAACCCAACCTTGAGATTCAAACAAGACAACACCACCAACCACTCCAGTTGCCTTGGCTTCAAGGTTCTCATGCAAAAGAGGCTACATCATGCTAGGTTAATGCTTTCTGCTATAGATTGGATAACAAACTAATTTAATTAAATATTTTTTTAGCTAGTAAACTTTACCTCCCTGACACACACAATCTTCAATAACAGGAGGCAAATATACACATTTTAACTATTAATGCAGAATGCAAGTAAAAGATTCTTAGATAAACCAAGTGAAAAATTGTTAAAAATCTCATATCACAGCCATCCATCTACAAATATTAAATTTCTCCAATATCAGTAACCAAAAACAAAAATGGGGCCTATGTGAAAAATAATTGAAAATGACCATACAAACCAGATTATACATGAAAGAAAGGAGTTGGAAGGAACATAAGTTATGTTGGGATTGAAGGTAAAAAGTCTCTTCTGCTTATGATACAATACTGCCCGTTTCTACTTTGTTCAAAACAGGACTACTTGCTTCTAATTTTAATTTGTTCTAGTTTTGTCCACCAACAAGAGAACCATCAGCCAACACCTCACAAAGCAGAACGAGATAATGTAGATATCAATCTAGAAATAATAGCAAACTATGGCATCACAAACACATGCTCAAGTGATAAAAGATATGCATCATATAATATACATAATGAATCTCATATAACAACATGAAGGAACCACTCAATTTGACCAATAATATTACTAGTAACTATTCACTTAATATTTCCAATACTGTGGAGAGTCTTTGATAAAATCATCACCACTACACGGTCATCGTAGCCACAAAAAAATATGAGTCCTCTAAATCTATATTAAATCACTCCATGAGCCATTTGCATTGCCCCAGCATTTCGAAGCAGAAAAAAATCATGATTTAAGATCATCAACAGGGAGAAATATAAAAAATCAAACAAGGTTCTAGTTAGGAGCCCGATATTTTAAAGAAAATCAAGCATTGTGCTTGGTAATAAGCACTGATTACCAACTAGAAAAGTAGTATATATTTGTTAAAGGTACAAAACATGAACCAAAAATATAAAATGGCAAAGAAATCAAAGTTTTACCTTTTCTATTTTTTGCACCAGAAGAATTGACTGTAGAAGCTACATTCCCAAGTCCACAACTGGGGAACTCCTTCAATCCAGCATTCTGGTTCCCCAAACATTGCAGATTCTCAAATTCACACCCACTGAAGTCTTGACCACTTAAAAGCGCACCTTCCCCACGTTTTCCTTCAATCCCTTGATCTGGATGAATGCAGTTAACCCAATCATCACACTGCATATTACACGGATTCATCAGATATACACCAGGCAAGTTTGGAGTAGCCATGTTTTGATACATATCACCACTCTTGGCAGACTTCTGATAAGGAAAAGATCCGATCTCCCCTTCTATCCTCCCTCGGATGTCCACAAGCAAACACTTGAGCCTTGCATTCTCAGCCTTCAACGCAGCTTGACCCTGTAATCTCTTCATCAACTGCTGATTCAATGCCCTCAATCTCACAACCTCATCCTCTAAGGATGCAGCACGAGCCTTCTTCTTCTCGCGATACTTGCGAACTGCTTCGCGATTACCCAATGGGCGTTTCTTTGATTTCTTTCCTGAGGACTCTGATGTATCATTAGCAGAAACCTTATCATCTTCAGGTGTGGCAGACTGAATTTTGGTGTGCATATGAAAGCAAGTGTGTGTGTGAGCGCAATCTGGGCCTGGTAGGTTGCAAGTGTGGGTATGAGTGCAGGCATGTGTATCCATGAGTAACTCATTGAAAAACATGTCCATAGAACAACTGTCTGGAAGATCACCGATGTTCGAACTTGAGAATATTTCTTTGTTTGAGAAATCAAGCTCGCCATCGTCCATAGTAATAAACGAAACTAGAACCTACCAGAAGAGTGATAAATATTTGTTCTTTTACCTCTACCCAGATAAATGTAGACACTCAATTTCTTGACAGGCCTTAGAGATTTCAAGTTGGGTGTTGAAAAACACCACAACCCTAGAATAAACAAAAAGAACAAAACACACAAAAATCAGAACTTTGAATGCATACCCAGATCCAATGCTGTGTTTTGAAGCAAATTAAACTAAACTGATTGATCAGAGAACAAGGCAGACTAGATACACAAATCCTTATCAAGCATAAGCTACGTAAACACTCTAATTCAAATCAAATTGCTCACCACCCGAATTACTCAATACTATCACAGATTGAAAATTGATGGAATTTGAATTCGAAAAAAACAAAAAAAAACAAAAGACTTACATAGGAACCCTAGAACGAAGCAAGCCGTGCAAAGATTTGAATTCAAATCGCGGTTATGTAAGACCTGTTGGCTGAGTTTGTGATCATGATTTTGGGTTCTGAGACCCTAGAAACCCAGAGGCAGAGTCGAGAGAGAGAGAGAGATTATACGGAAGAAAAGAAATCCTAGAGACCAAAAGGGTTGAAAGATGGCAACATTTTAATGGAGGAAAAAATGGACGAAGAGGAGCCATAGGTTCAGAGACTCCCAAGATTCAAACAGGGCCTCTTCCTCAATTTATAGGTTTCGGGGGGAGTGATGTGTAAATATTAAAAAATTCCAAAATATAGAATGGGCTAAATTACACTCACCTCCCCTGAGGTTTATAAAAATAAAATTAGCTCCTCATTTTTTTAAGATAATTACATTAGTCTTCTTTAAGGTTTTAATTCACATACTAATCATATTATTTTTTATCAATAATTCATTAGTTTTATAAATAAAAAAATGATACTGTTATCTTTTTTCACTAAAATATATATTTATTTTTGTTTATTTCAATATCTACTCATTATTTGTATAAATTTTAATTATTTTAATTTTACTTAAAAAAGTCAATATAATTATATAAAAAATATTAAACTAATTATTTTTTTTAAACCTCAAGAAATGTAAGTATAATTTATCATGCTTAATAATGTCCGTCTATTGGACTTAGGATGGTACGAAGCACTATTGACTTTTAGCCGTCAATGGCATGGAATTGGGATAATAAGGCTACGAAGATAGGTTAATGATGCGAGTCCATCAAACTTAGGATGGTCTGGAGCTCTGTTGGTTTTTAGTCATCGAATGCTTGAAATTGGGATAGTGGTTGTGTAGGGCATAGTAGCTATTATTGTACAGTCGCTGAAGTTCATTTTGAGACCTATTTTGATAATATAAATTATTTACTTTTTTATGATACATCGAATAAAATATATTTATAAAAAATCAAATAAATTAGACATCGATAGTTCTTTCATCAAATTATATTTATATTCAGTTTATATTTCAAATCACATTACCATTCATTTACCATTTACTTACTTTACACATTTACACTAATGTGCTAAGAAAAATTTAATGGAGAAAAAAAAATGTCTTGACAGTGGAAATTTTGAGCTAATATCCTTTACCAACACAGGCTTAGGGGTGAGCATTGTTTTCATTGATTCTGATAACACCCGAAAAGGATGGATTTGGATTTCTATTTTTTTTATGTTTTCAGTTTGGAACCTTATGTTAAAAACAATTTTCAAAAAATAAAAAACCAAAACATCTACAAACCACCTCATATAATTGGGTGCAGAGTTTTGCTTAGACTGTACAGGGTCAAAAACTACACATTCTACAAACTCATCTCCGGGAGCAAAACTGTCCTGTAAACTAGCCAAAGATATTCAAGAAAAGTGAAGAGAAAAAAAGCTAATCTAAGCTCGATGAGCTGCTCAATCTTTCCTTCAAGTATTCTTCCAAGGACATTTTGCTGCTTCGCTCCATACTGTTGAATGATGGGGTTGTCTCTTCCACATCGAGCAACGCAAGGCCCAAATGCGACTCTGCCTTCAAATGGGGATAAACTTCATCATCGGTATTATCCTGGTTTTCTGCTTCATTTTGATCTCCAAACCGCGTGTTCAACCATTCGTCAACGTCTGTCTTCCCATTCAAGATTTCCAGTACCTAGAATATGGAGAAGCGAGAAATTAAAGAGTAAAATTTTAAGTTTGATAATAATAATAATAAAAGAAAGCACCAAAGAGCATGGATGTTCCAGTTCTCTTCAAAACATAATATTGAGAATGCTCGTTTAATGAGCAATTCAATACCAATTCAATCCGAGCTCTTGGAATTGGAATACGTTCACAAAATCATAGTGGTCTTGTATATCTATGTAACCAATAGTAGAACTATTAAATTACCTGGCTCATTTTAGGACGAAGCCGAGCTGATCTTGTGAGGCAGAGCCTGGCTGCAAGACCCATTCTCTGAATTTGAGTCTCATCGATGTTTCCTTCTAGATTCAGATCCAGTGTGCTTCTTAGATTTCCAGTCTCTAGTTTTAATTTTGCCTGAAAATCAATCTTCTAAGTTATATACACATAAACATAACTTATAAGTTGTAGGCAGTGAAACTGTGAAATTTTCATGTCAAAGAAAAAGACCCTTACCCACATGACCAAGCTTTCTTGGCCCTTGTCAGCATCGAAAGTGATCGCTTTCCTTCCCGATAACAATTCAAGAAGAACCACTCCAAAAGAGTACACATCGACCTTGTCGCTGACTTTGCCATACATGAAATACTCAGGAGCAAGGTACCCAAAAGTCCCCACAACGTCGTTGTCTGTTAGAAAAGATGAATCTGACGGTCCCCATATTGCTAGCCCAAAATCAGATAGCTGTGATAGGAAAGAAAAAATCATACATATTGGGGATTGAAACATTTGTATGGATTTTCAACTGTCATAACTACCACCTTCGGTTCAAACTCATTAGAGAGAAGAATGTTTGAAGACTTGACATCTCTGTGAATGACCGGCCGAGAACATTCATTGTGCAAGTAATTTAGGGCTTCAGCAATTTCAACAGCTAGTTTGAATCTCAATTCCCAGGACAATACAGATGTTTTTTTGCTATTACCTGTCTCAGAGATCAACCAATTAGCATAAATTTCCTATCCATCCTTAAGTTGGCCTATCAATCCGAATCCAATATTGATCACAAAAACAATCCGAACCCAAAATCGATCCAATTCTGACAAATCTGATAAAAAAATCAGCCGAACAGAATTTTGTTTAATGGAATCGGCTTTTAGATTAAATCCGATCAGTTGACAGGCCTATTACATAGTAATGGAAAGAAGAATATCTCCAGAGAAGATTTACCATGTAGGTTTTCCTCTAGATTTCCTCCAGACAAGAAATCATAAACAGAGATTAGTTCATTGTCTTCAACACAAATTCCAAGCAGAGGAGTGATGTTTTTATGCTTCAATGAGCTCATGATATCTACTTCCTGTGTGAAATCCTTCCATGCCTCTTTGCTAGACTTCAACACCTTCACCGCCACCGGCTTCCCACCTGGAAGAAGCCCCTTGTACACACGATTATACCCTCCATTACCGATCAACTTATCTGCAATCGAACCACAAGTAGTTAAGCATAGAATGCAATTGAATTGGAAACACAAACCTTGTCAAAGAATATTAGAGGCCAAAAGACCTGAAGAGAATTGAGAAGTAGATGTTTTAATGACATTGTAGTTGAGCCATTTACGGCCAGATGAATTTGTTTTGATGAGCTTGTCCAGATTCTCTACCATCAAAGAATTTTCTAGTTCAATTGAACTAAAACCGGCCTTGGATTGAGGAGATTTGGGTGGAGGTCGGTTTGGTAAGCTCATTACCCATTGCGCTACAGACAGTTTTTTTGCTACTGCTGCAGGCTGAGTCACTGGAGCAGTGGCTATGCGGAGCAGAGGCCAACCTGGCCTCTCCTCCGGACAACGCTCCGTGACAAAAGAAAATGAACTCGAGTGAAATTTCTTGTGTTTCTGGACAGGACTATTGAAACTGTCATTTCTCGAATTGCAAATCACTTCATGACTGTGTCTTGGAGTCTCCGAAGTCTCAGAATCACCAAATTCAGACTGGTTATCTGTCAGTGATTGATCTCGAACAAGGTAAAAGCTTGGCTTCGGATCTCCTTCGCGACCTAACATAATCCAAAACAAATTCAAGAATCGTTAAGACTACGTACATCTTACTCTTCCCAAATCCTATTTTAACAGAAGTCTCGTGCTTTTTTTTTAAGTAGCTTTTCAAGGGAGAAAAATTGTACCTGGAAGTCTGTTACTGGAAGACCTTCTGTAAATCACCTTGCCATTTGTAAAATAAATTGATGTATATTGATTGTAATCCAAAACAAATTCAAGAATCGTTAAGACTACGTACATCTTACTCTTCCCAAATCCTATTTTAACAGAAGTCTCGTGCTTTTTTTTTAAGTAGCTTTTCAAGGGAGAAAAATTGTACCTGGAAGTCTGTTACTGGAAGACCTTCTGTAAACCACCTTGCCATTGTAGATGGCAAGAATGTCGGTGGTCTGAGGCAGGCGTTTCGCGCAATATTTAGCAACTGAAAACCAGCAAGTCCTGAAAAATGCTTCTAAAAGGAAGACATTATTATTAACTCAAAACTACTGCAAAAAAAATAAATAAAATAAAAATAGAATGTTTTTCTAAGCCTTAGATCAGCCTTACCCGAGTCGAAATTCTCTCCTTATCCCCACAATCAGAGACTCAGCAGCAAGGTTTTTAGCCTCTCTCACTAGAACCTTTTGGATTGAACTACCCGTCAAGACATCACCGGTGAGATCTACCTGAAACTCGAGCATTGGACAATCAGAATCAAGAGTGAAAAAGAAACACACACGCACACGCCAAAAAAATAGAGGAAATTTTAAGGAATAAAAAACAGACCTTTTTGGCATTGCATAGTCCTTCATAAACTTGTAAGTACTCATCCAGCAAGGGCTTGTTTTTGGAAGTAGAATCTGAAATCAGAAATCAAAAATCAAAAATCAAAAACCCAATTCATATTTCAAGAAACAATGCAAGTTGCAACAATTCTAGAAGTGTGAAGATACCAGAATCACTGCAAACATGAATTGCAACTACATGATCCCCTGTTTCTGCAACTTTCACAAGAGCCCAGTTCAGAAGCTCTCTGCTATGGCCATCGATTTTGATCCCGACAACTATGTTTTTCCTCTTAACAGCCTTAACCTCCTCAACTGTCATTTTTCCTTTCTTTCTTGTTAATCTTTTTGATACTGAATTTGCAGAAAATCTGCCTCGACCTCCTCTGTTCTTGATAAACAGAGTTCATGAAACAATTCTAGTTTTCCACTATGTTGTACTGTGGAGATATATTTTCTGAATACCAACACGTGGCATGGTGACGCCGACGTGTCAGCTGAGGTGCCACGTGCCCTGGTAGTTAAGCCGAGGTAATCTCGGAGAAGCCGAGGTCATCTCCGAAGATATCGGAATCCGAGATAAGGGGCAAGAGTCCTAAGGCAAAGAGGGGACTTAACCAAGATAAGGATAAAGCTCTTAGGGAGTTTATCTTTATCTCTTAAAGAGTCCAGAGTAAACAGTAAATTGAAGTTCATAGAAGTCATACTTCTAGTGGGACGGATTGAGTATATTATAAAAGAAAGGCACCCCGTGGGTCTAAGGTATGTAATTTATGTTTTGAGTATTCAGTTTAGCACTTGATTATCTTTGAGAAATATACTGACTTGATCGTCGGAGTGCCCCCGGGTGGAAGAACCACCGCCGGAGCTTTTTCTTTCTGTTACAGGTTGCCAAAGCCATCTATTCTGCTTGTGCTCTCCAGCTGATCACTAAACGGGCAGTGTGGTCAGATTTTCACCCACACAATTTGGCGCCGTCTGTGGGAACGAAGGAAGAATAGATGGCCAGTAACGGACAGCAGGAAAATATTGGGGATGACGCTCCCACTGGGAGTAGCAGACCAATTGACCTTGATATTGAAGGAGACAACCACAATGCAGAAGCCCATGACCAGGGTCACAGAGAGAACGACGTCATCCCAGAAGGCGACACGTCAAAAAGAACAAACCAAGGAAAGTACTACAATGAAGATAAACAGAGTTCATGAAACAATTCTAGTTCTCCACTATGTTGTACTAATTGATTGATTTGAAGCTCAAATCTTGGAATTTAAATTATACCCATTAACATGTTACAATCAGAAAATCCAAAAACTGGGAATTGTAAACAACTAGAATATGATTAGAATAGAAGATTTTCACTTCCTCTATGAATTAAAAATAATAAATAAAAATCACACGAGACCCACAAGACTAACTTTGCTTGTTTTCATTTTTCAGAAAACACTTTTTAGAAAATTCTATTTTCTTATTTTTCGTATTTTTTTTTGTTTTTATTGATTTTTTAAAATATTTTAAGCATTTTTTTTTACTTTTTAGACACACATAACATAAATATACCTAAAAAGTAAAAAAATTGTAAAAAAAATCTTTTAAAAATTCACTAAATACCAAAAATATAAAAAAAAAATATAAGAATTCAATATATTTTTTTGTATTTTTATATATTTATTAATTTTTTAAAATATTTTTTTACAAATTTTTTACTTTTTAGATACATCTAACTAAGATGCATCTAAAAAAGCAAAAAAAATGTTTAAAATTTAAAAAATATTCACTAAAAATAAAAGAATACAAAAATTAAAAAACTCAATTTTTAAAAAATTTAATCCAGAAAACTCAAACCAAACACATTGATATTTTATAGATATGACGTCTATAGATAAATGTTGGTTAATTGTGGAAAATAAATCAATCCGAACTGACATCATAAACCTACCAAAATTTCAATACCATTTGTCATTGGAGAATAATAACAGTGTATCAGTAAAAAAAAAATAATAATTACAAATTAGTGATAAAATTTATAAATTTTAATAATTAAAATATGGGTAAATTACAAACACACCTTTGAAATTTATTTAAATTACAAATTATTTCTTATGGTTCTATAAATTACATTATGCCTCTTAGGGTTTTTAATTTCATAACAAATAAGTTCTTCTATTAATAAATTATCAAGTTAATTAACAGTTTTTAATAATATTAAAATTTTATTTCAATCAATAATTTAGATAATTTTATTATTGTATAAGTGAACAGTTAGAAATTTCACTTTTTTCAATTAATTATGTTAAATAAAAAATTATGACAATGAGGTATTTGTAATTTTCCAAATTACAGGGAGTAATTTGTATTTTAAATAAATCTCAGGGGATGAATTTGTAATTTACCCTTAAAATATCATACTCTCTCCATCCAAAAATATTAGTATCTTATTTTATTTTTTATTATCGCAAAATATTAGTCCATTTTCAAAAGTCAAGCAAAAAAATAATATAAATTTCTTATTTTGCCTTTCTTTTAAATTCATTAACAACATAAAAAGTACAATTATGATATTGATATTTTCTAAAAAATGTACTATCAAAGGGTATGTTGTCCCATATAGGCAACCCAAGAGGGGATGAATTGGGTTATTAAAAATTTCACAATATTAAAATTAACACAATATTCAGAATTTTAATAAATAAAAAAAAACAGAATAATAATTATCAATATAAAAGTAAGAGAGATAGGGAGAGAAAATCAAACACTGCGATTTATAGTGGTTCGGCACGCCAGGCCTACGTCCACTCCCCAAGGAACCTCCTTGAAAATTTATTTACTATCAATTGAATAAATACACCACCAAGCTTGTGGATTTGGTACAGGACTTACTCTTCTCTATTGAGCCTCACTCAATAATAAAAGTCTTACCCTTACAAAATCTCTCACAAAAATAAGGAATAAGAATAAGTGGTACTTAAACCTTCTTTTACAATAATTCTCTCACAAAGAGTAATATGAAAGTGTAAGAACAAAAGCTAGACTTAGATCTAAAAGTAAAAGAACAGAATACAATTTGAAACTCACAGAAAATTTTCTCTTCAAGTTCTTGATTTTTCTCCACACACAACACTTCTATTTATACACAAAAATATACCCGTTAGACGCTCTTTGCTGACGTCATGGCTTATATAAGCACGCTCCTTACTGACGTCATGGATGACATTAGTTTGGAAGAGAATCACGTGTAAAAAAATTTGCACTCTTACAAATTTGAACATCTTTATGTATTAGTCAAAAGTGTACAAAAAGGAAAAGAAAAATTAATTTGAATTATATCTTGTATGACTTTCCACATGCTAATAATTAATGTGTTCATATGCTAATATTCAATGTTTTCACACACTAATATATATGATACAATCAATGTTGTGTAAAAAAAATATAATTGCTCCGTGATGTATACTATTTGCATTATATATATAAAGTTATATATATATATAATGTTCTAATCAAATATTTGCATACACAGAAAAACCTCTTTAAATAATATTTATGATGGATTTGAAAAATATGCCCTCTTTAAAATATTGTATATGTTGTAGAGATTTTAAACTAAATATATTCTACCACTCCATATTAATTTTGTCAAAACAAGGCAACCTATCAATATCAAATTTGTCAAAATAATACAACCAATCCATCATTTTTGTCAAAATAATATAATTAATCAATTTTTAATTTGGTCAAAAAATGAATAGTGATTAGCTTCAATATTCAAAAAGTGAATAGTAAAGTTTTCAAAAATATTTTTATTTAACTAATATTTAACAAATATATATATTTTAAAAAGATAATATTTTGTGTCAAATAAATATGTACATTAAAAAAATCTAAATTGTTACAAATAATATTTTAGACATTATCAAAAGTAAATAATACAAATAATATTTTAGGCATTATCAAAATTAAATAATATGATTAACAGGATAATTTTAAAAAAATAATTTTTTTAAAGTGTAATAATTATACTATTAAAAAAAATTAAATTCCCTAAAAGAAATCATTACTTTGGAGTGGTTTGGTAAGTTGGTAAAAAATTAACTTTTTAACTTTTTTTTAACTAAAAAGACTGTCGTTTTTTATTAAAAAAAATTAAAAAATCAAAAAATTAACTTTTTTTTAAGCCTCTTTTTAAAGTAACCCTTTACACACAGTATTTTTTTTTAAAAAATATTTGAAACCTCTAATTAATGATAACATTAATGGTATGATAGTGACCTTCCCACTGAAGTATTGCTGTTCCTTGTCGTTTTCCCTTTGTCATTCAAATCTATTGTTTTTTATTTTATTTTTTAAAAAATGAAAATGCCGCCAAAGATCATCAGTTTGCCTAACAAAAATAATGGAATGGGATGGAATGGTGGGTGCTGTGGTGGTGAAAATAAAGCTCAGATAAGCAAAGTGGGTTTTTTTTATTATTATAATAATTTTTAATGGGATTTGCAGAATCAGAGATGTGAAGGGAGAGAAAGGTGTTGGAGTAGGAAAAGAATAAAAAGAAAAAAAACAAATCAGTATAGGTTTGAAAAAAAAAATTACAAAGATAAATTTTATAAATTTTCTCATAAATATATAATTATGTTTGGAAAATGTCTCTTATTTGTAATTTCTTCACCCAAAAAAAAATCTCAGGTAAGAGTGAGAGTTGCCGCGAAAAATGAACAGAGAAATTCTCTTGGTGTTTTGGGAAATTAATAAAAACTGATTTTTAGCTTTTTATCAAGTTTTTTAACTTTTTAGAAAGTGATTTGAAAAGTTGATAAAAAATTGACTTTTTGTTTTTTAGTTTAATATTTATTTATGGTGTCAAATCAAATTAAAATAACCAAAATACCCTTACCTAACATAAGAAATTTATTTTTTTATTTTTTTGTCATAGGCCCTAATTTGTAATTTTACACTTGCGTTTTTGGCACTTCCCAAACCAATGTTGTTGCATTTTTGGCACTTGCGTTTTTGGACATTTTATCTAAAAACGTGACTTTTTATTTTGTCTCCAAAATGGCAGTAAAAAACTGACAATTATTTACGGGAAAGCCATCGAATCTGATCACCGTTAACGACTACACAAGAGAGGGGTTGACGAATGCCTTTCGATTAAAAAACAAAAAAACAAAATGTTAATTATAATATTTTCTTCAAAGTTTTCACCTTAATCGTTCATTTGACAGAGCTAAAAATTGACATATTAGACACATGTGATCAAATTAATATAATTTAAATATTAAAATCAAAGTGACATTAATAACATATTTTGAAACTAAAAATTTAATTTTATTAATTGAGTTTTAAAAATTTACCCTTGAATTTAAGTGCATCTCTTTATTTTGAGAGACTAAAGCCTAATGATAAGTGTTATAGCTTGAATAATTAGGCCTTATTTGGCATGTTAGTATTTTAGTTAATGAATCAAAAAATTATTAAAAAAATTATAAATTATACCAAAAAAGTCAAATTTCATTTTCTTTTTATTTTTTACACATATTTTTTAAAAAATCAAAAAATCATTACAAATATATTAACTTTTTTTTACCTTATATTTTAATTAAAAAATTATTAAAATAATCTATTCACAAACGAGACTTTAATCTCAAAAAAAAAAAAAAAAAACGTTGAACTTAAAATTTTAAGTACAAAATTTTAAAGTCTTATCACTCCACCTGAATTTGCGACTATAAAATTATGGCTAAGGTAGGTAAAATAAAATAAAAGTAAACATGCCTAATTGGGAAGCAAGTTTTGTTTATAATTTTGTGGACAAAAATACCCTCGGACATACAAATCCCACCGACAGAAACAACAGTACAGACCACGTGTGAGTGAGAGAGACTTTTCAACTCAATTTCAATGCTAATGTCTGCCTGCCCCATATCAACCCCACTACCACACAAGGAAACCACAATACGCAGCAGTAGTAAACATGATTCTCGGTTAAAACATTGCTTCGCAATATTTTCAGGAGAGATATTTGTTCAGTTGTTTTTTAAAAGGAGATAGAAGGATGGTGAGTGTTAATCATTTCAACCAATGAAACTTAAATTGGAACTTATTTTAAGTGTAAAAAATAATTTTTCAGGCTTCTCCCACTTGAATGTGTAATTTCACATGACTAAGATCTTGTTTAACAAATGAATATTTTAGCTAAAATGTCAATACAAACTAAATTTATTATTTCTATTTTTTACACATTTTTTTATTAAAAAAATTAAAAGAATATTTAAAAAGTCAATTTTCAAACGAATTCTAAGTAAAAATCCAAGTTGTCTTACATTTTAATCAAAACGTCATAATTTCATGATACATTTTGCAAACATTTTCTAATATTTGATTATAAATTTGAAATTAATATATTAATAATTACATTAGTGGTGGTGATGGAGTTGGTGGATATAGAGATGGCATGGATTGTGGAGAAGATAGCAAAGATGATGATAGCGGTGGTGAAGGGTGTTGGAAGTGATGGCAAGGTGGTGGTTGTACAAGTGGAGGTATTGTGGTGATAGTGATAATGTAAAAATGCTAGTGAGGGAGAGAGGGAGATTCCACTGGTGGCACTGTAGCGAGGAGGAAGGGTGGTAGTGGGTTGGAGGGGAAGGTGGATGGTGGAGTTAGAAAGAAGAGAGCACTTGAGAGAGGAAAACGGAAGAGAAGATATTTTTTTACTGGTCCATCAACCATCAATAAGTTTATGCCAACTAGGATGCCATATTAGATGGTACAAAAATATTTAGAAAAGAAATTTAAAAAATGATTACCTCAGCCATTATTGATATGATATAAAGTTGATTGCGATTTCATGAATTATGGTGTTCGCTAAGGAAAGTTATTAATTGAGTTTAGGGTATTATTAAGTGATGTTTTAATGATGTTATAATTAGTAAAAAGAGTAGAATTCATAAATTTATATTGAATGATTAGAAAACGTAAGAAGATATGATAAATTGTGATTGGTGTGATGCAATAACGATACGCTCTAAAATTAATCAATAATTTTTTGTTGGCCAAGATAGAGTGATTGGATATGAAATGAAATGTGCCAAGGCTTGATTGATTAACGTGAATGTTTTGGAATCAAGCATAGAAACATTTTGCTAGGAGAATATATGTATTAGATGAGATGAGGCCTACCTTCTTATTCTTCTTATTATTAATTGTTTTTTGGTTGAGATAATGCCAATTCAATGTGCTTATCGCTTACTTTTTATATAAATATATATCTAATTGGAGGCAATTTGTAGTCTTCTCTCTAGTCAACCTCATATGAGGACTGGGCATGAGATATGTATTGCATGATTATGACATCACATCCATTTATTCACAAAAACAATAATGTTAGGTAGTTTAAAATTTTGTGTCTTAAATGGTTCAAATCACTTAAAACGACATCGTTTTAAGTGTAAATGAGTGTAAAACGACGTCGTTTTGAGTGTAAATGAGTGTAAAACGACATCGTTTTGATAAATTTAAACCATTTAAACCACAAAATTTTAAACTACCAAACATTTTCCTTCACAGAATACTGGCCCCCCATGGCACTTCCATCTTCTTTTATTTCGGTAGGTATGCTATTCTAATTATTACTGCATTAATGATGTGACACGTGCCTAATAGACACATGTCCAAATGTAAGAGATAAAATCGATTTTAAGTTGAATATTTTTAAAAGAAAAAAGATAAATTATACCCACCTTTTTTAGATTTTTAATAATTATGGAGATTTTTTTATAGCTTCAGTAATTATAGATTTTTTTTTCTTTTTAAATTATTATTAAGATTCTCTCACGGTTAATTTTTTGTTAATTTATTTAACAAAATATGATGACGTCATATTGATGTCATATACCATGAGTAAACAATTTCAAAATTGTCTTTATATATTCAAATAGTAAATTCCACTCATCTCTCTTAAGATTTTACAAGAAATTAATAAAGACCGTACTTTATTTTAAAAAATTCTAAATTGTTAAGACAAGCATATATATATATATATATATATTTTGTAGAATAACCAAACATTACCTTATCTAAAAAAGAAAAAAAGAAAAAAAAAAAGAAGCTAATAAATTGATCACCATTAAATCTTATACTAGATTAAATACAATTATTTATTTGAAAATTACGAAACAAAGTATAAAAGATGTTTTTTTTTAAAAAAAAAACCACCAATTTTATAAATAATTATTTTAAGAAATTAGAGTTTGAATAGAAATTTAAAAATACATATAAGTATTTGATTTTTTGTTCCCCGTATGAAAAATACATATTTGGAGAAATTATCCCCCTCTTTCCATTTTCTTTATTTTATTTCTTTCATTTTTCTTTCTATTTATTTTCTCATTTATTTTTTCATTGTGTCACTGCAGCAAATAGTAACACCATATAATTTATTATTATTATTTGTTCTCTTCTCTATATTTTTTCCTCAATTTTTTTCATTATTTTTTCTCTTTCATTAATGTTAGCTAGTATCACCCAATACCAAAGCAACTTATGAAACATGAATTTTTTTTTTTGTTTTAGAAACATATTTATGTATTAATTTTTTTTAAGAAAAATAAACATAAGAACATTGCATATTTTTAATTAAAAAAATTGACTTATAAAAATTACCAAATGGTACCTCATAAATATATTTTAAAAAATTATCATTTTATCTTTTCACAATCCTATATTATTCTCAAATTTTAATTATTATTAAAAAAATAAGTCAATATTTGTCACCTTAATAATAAAATTTTTAAAAATAAATATAAAAGTGAAAAAAATATCTAATCACGTTACAATAAATTAAAATTAGATGATAGGGAATGGAAGATAAATAAATTATTTGAGAATAATAAACTATTTAAATTTGTCATTTCTTACATCTAATTAAAATAAAATTTTACTTCAAGAAATAAATTATTTGAAAATAATAAAATATTCAAATAATTTGTTATTTATTTCATTGAAAATCTATATATCCATCTTTGTTTCTTTCATTTAAATTATTTTACTAAATTAAATCTCAAAATTAATTCAAATAAGAAACATGGTTATTCTTTCTTAATTTCATTAATTGTTGATTTTTATTTTATTTTTTTAACTTATAAAAGTTCAAAACTTATAGTGGGGAAAAAATACAAAGTCAAGAAAAAAAAAATTTGAGAAATAAAATGATAATTATATATATGTAAATTACATTTAAAGGATATTAAGTGTAAAGGATATTATAGTCATTTGCACAATCAAGTTAACACCATTTAGCTTCAATTAACAGGAGGGAAAATCTTGACAATATCAAAAAAAGTAAGAGAAGTTTCTGTAATTATTGAAACTATAGGGGAAGTCCCTATAATTGCCAGAAATCTCAGAGGAGATGAGTGTAATTTACCCAAAACAAATGATATACAAATTTACTTTTTAGATCTAACGATATGTAAAAATATGATTGACTAATATTTAGAAAAAATATAAGAGAGAAGTTATTTTAAATATTTTAATTGATATGACATGATTGAATTTGAAACTTAAGTATAACATTTGAATTTGAATAGTAATATTCATTTTAAAATTTATAAATTCTTTAATATACTATTAGAATCGGTCAAGATTTCGCCTAAAATGTTTCTTTCATCACATTATTTTTCTAAGTCATCTTATTAAAGTTTGTTTTTTCTTTTTTATTCCAAAAAAATATATATATTTTGAAATGTTATTACGGCATATGTGGGCCCAAGACTCGAGTAACTGATTGTTGACTTGATTTAACTTAACTCATAGAAAGGGACTTGGGGTCACTGCTGTGTTGTGTCTTATTTTGAGATGCATTATGGGCTTATTTTTATGATCTGAACCGTTCATTTTGTAAGATTTGTTAAGTACTTCAAGCCTATCAAAAATCATATTAATTGGATATCAATAACTATATGATCGAATTGCATATTTTTATACTATTTTTCAAAAGAAAAACTTCTTGTTTATTTTTTTGGTTATCAATCATATAGTTATTGGTATCCGATTAATATGATTTTTGGTATGCATGAAGTACTCAACAAACCTTACAACATGAACGATTCAGATTATAAAAATAAATCCATAATGTATTACAAAATGAGGCACAACAGTCACTCTCAATTCCCAAAGAAAGGGACTCACTACCGGGACATCGGTCGAGCTCATCAATTACCCCCCTAGCAGGGCCAAAGTTCAACTAGAATATAGTGTGAGATTTCAAAAAAGAATTACTAAAAAATCTAGCATTTCACATCTTTAAAAGTCAAACTTAACTTATTGTTATAAAAAAATAATGTCTTCACCACAGAACCACCAACCCTCGTGGCATCTTATTAAAGATTGTTGACCAGAGAAAATTATCGGATAAACGCTATGGTGCTTATCCTCGCTTAAGCAAGGACTGAAAGGGTTGCTTGCTTAGGGCACGTGTGCCCAATTAATTTTAAGTCGAATATCTTTAAAATATCTAACGAGTAGGAGTAAGCTATAAAAAATTTGTAGCAGATTAATACATTGGGCAACACTTTATTCTAGGTAAATAGATGCTCAAATTACAAAGGTACAGCCTTTTATGAGACTTTGTTTTATTATATAAAATATAAAATAAAAAACCAAAAAAAAAGGTGATTTTTTTTGGGGGGGGCAACAGCAAACATGGGTCGGGTCGGGTCAACCCATGGCATACTTGTGGGTCCAGCTTCTAGCAGCGGACTCATACTTAGCTTTGTCAGTTTTGCACATGTGAGCTATCTCTGGAACCAGTGGATCATCTGGGTTTGGGTCCGTCAATAATGAACATATCGACAGTAAAACCTGCAAAATGAAGTGAATATATAAATTAAAATATTCTACGTATTTTAAACAGAAATAGTCTCTCCGTATTCATAAAACTGTAAAATGAATAGAGGCATTTCAGCTTAACTCATTTTTGACTTGTTAAAATTTATCTTTATTTAAATAAGTTAAATTTAAATACATTTTAAAACTCATTATTCTAAACTCAGTTCTAATTAGATTCAAAAATCTTAAATGTACTATAATAAATAAATAAAAATACTAAAACTAAGTTACTTGAGCTCAATTCGATTACATTTATCATTCCTGACTCTATAATAACAAGAGTCTTGTGTAGTGGGACTACCTAATTTAATCTCAAATTGAAAGTATAGAAAGAAGGCTAGTATGGTTTTTCATGGTGGGTATTTTATTTTCACCTTGGATATGGTAAGAGCAGGACTCCATTGTTCCTTGAGTATGTCCAAGCAAATATTGCCATTACTGTTTATATTTGGGTGGAAAACTTTGGTCCTGAATGCTACCTGCAAGCAGAGTTTTTGACAATGAAACCATTCAAAGATTGTCTATAAAAAACAAGATCAAAAGTGAAGTGTCATAAACCCACTTGCACAAGGAAAATGCCTCATGATATATATACCATTCTTTTATGTACACAAAATTCGATCACATAACCCACACATTTAATGGGTCATCTTCTACAAGAGGATTGTGTCCGTTCTGTGATTGAATTTTATGTATTTAGAATTTTTCTTACCTTTGGAGGTTTGAAGGGATAATCAGGCGGGAAATGGATAGTCACCACGAACACACCACCGGCGTAAGGGCTATCGTTTGGGCCGAGGATGGTTGCTTGCCAGTGGAACATGTCCTCGGCCACTGGACCTAAACAAAATACATAACACCATTGTTAATTTTACAGCCTATTTGGATTGAGTGATTTGGAGGGAAAAGAAAATGAATTGATTTTTCGTAAACCTAAACATGTACACCATTGTATGTCAAGTTTAGTGTTAGAAGAGAAGAATCAGGCCAGTTCAATTTTGATTGCTGTGTATGTGTATGTACCTGCACTGCAAGAAGTTGGTGGGTCTCTCTGCAAGTCCTTTAGCTCCTTCAAGATTCTCCTTGAAGCCATTAGAGTGATTTGTGTGTGTGTGTGTGTGTGTGTGAGAGAGAGAGAGACAGAGATCCAATAGAGGGGATGAGTATCGAAGAGAAGCAGTGTATGAACACCTGCCAAACACAAGTGCTAGCTTGTGTATTTATTAATGGAGGAATTGGTGGTGGTGGGATGAGAGAGGAAAGAAAAAAACTGATGGAAGTAGTTGTAGATTCCAGAAAAAATATAAAAAAAATATCCAGCTTCTCTCCAGCTGAGGAGAGGAATAGACTCCTGCAATTTGAAATTGGTGGGTATATTATTTATATATAAAAAAAATTAAATTGAATTAATGTAATAATCATAGATACATAATTTTACTATATTTATCTTTAAAAATATATATTTTTAAAGTCATATTTACTATTTATTTTTTTCCATCAAAGGAAAAAATAATATTATTAATGATTCTAATTATTGAATCTATTTATTTATTTATTTATTTATTTATTATGAATTATCTATACCCAAGATTTTAGAAAAAATAAATTGTTAGATAATCAAATTGAATTCAATAGAAAGACAGTGGAGAAGTTGTATTCAAAAAGAAAAAAATAAAAGCAAGGAAAGAATTAGAGGGTTCAAAAATTTGAAAGCAATAAGAATCTATTGAAAAGAAAGAATGAAGAATAACTAGAAAACAACGAATGAAGTTACCTATCACTCAACAAATTACTCAAAAAGTAATGATAAAATGATAAGGTGAGCATTGCTTTTAGCGGATGGCTGAAATTCAGTGAAAGATATACAAATCCAATCAAGAATATTGGGAATTTCTACCATCAGCATGCCAAGAGATACAAAATCACTTTTTCTAGAGAGGGAAAGATATTCGAACTGGCTCAAACCACCCCCGTCACCGTTGGTAGAGCGTAGTAGAGCATCCAGGGCCAATTTTATAGTCAAGGAAAAGCAAATGTTACACCACAAAAAGTGATGATCAGCACCACAGAATACTCCTTCCTTTTCAATTCCTATCCTTCCATTTTCATTTCTCTACATTCACACCACAGCATGGGTCATGTGAGTTCACATATCAAACCAGCCACTTGGTTTGACAAATATAAATCTATAAAACAAATCAATTGCATAACCACACAGCTCTTCAAGTATTCTACATCAGCATAAAAACAGAATTAAACTCTATTGTGTCCCACAAAAGGAAACACAAACTATTTGGTTCCTTTAATAATATGGATCTTCCACAATCTAGTTAATAATACATAATGCAAATCTAGACAAGAAGCAATATAAGTTTTGAAGACATTACCAAGCACATAATTTGAATCATTTAATATACAAATCATAACACAACTCACAAAGTGACAACCAACCACATGACGCTGCAAAGGAGTGTCAAGTGGAGTCATCAGTTGAGACTATAAACCACAGCTTGCTGCTTCGTCGAGGTGGAAAGATAAAACAGAGGGATCAAGAAACTATGGGGTAATCAGCGAGTTGGTGGTGGTCATCTTCACTTTCCTCAAGAATTCTTACAAGATACTGCAATTTTTTTGTCCCCTTTTCTTCTTTTTCTTCTTCTGCTTTGGTGGTTGGAGAACCACCTTAATGGCCGCATCAAAAACAGCCTTCACATTCTGTAATTTTAAAAGGAAAATTTTTACAATAACCATTAAATGGTGAGGTAATTACAGAAGTTTACATGAAGATGCACGGGATTATAATAAAATATATCCACCTGCTGGGTTTTTGAACTGCATTCAATGTAAGCAGCAGCTCCAATCAGCTTTTTCAGCTCCTCTCCCTTTAAAAGATCAGAAGTCAGGTTTCTCTTGGAGGGACAAACACAATTTACAAATGACAGATGCAAACAAGACAAATTGTGGCCAAAAAATAATTTTACAAACATAGGAACACCACATATACCTGAGCTGTTGTAATGGGCACAGCACCAGGGTGGTCTACAAAGAACTGCTTATCTTCTCGAAGATCTACAGGAGGCAAAATAAGATGTCATTCATTCTGAAGGACTGTTCACTTCACGCACAACATTCATATGCAGTACCATAGGTAATAAAAAAAAAAATTGCAAAGCTAAAATGACAGGTTCAAAATTGATCATAACAGAGAACTCAATATCCATATACAAGTTTTTTTTTCCCTTTTTTTTTCAGTTGGTTTTAGGAGAATAGGGGAAGTTGCACGGCACAGCAGGGAGACTCAAATCCACCCAGCAATAATGAGACTCAAACTTGGGCATCACACCCAGCCAAACCTTGCTCTCAATTACCGTATACAAGTTTACAAGTACAAATCTATTGACATACGACATAATAAATAAAGATGATAAAGAGCATGATAATAATAGCAAAGACCTCAGTCCAAGTTGAAACATTTCCCTTCAAGTCAGTGCAGACAAGCAATACTTCTAAAGATGCCAAGAACATTGGTATTGGAGAAGCAATAATGTGTTTGGTTTCAATTTTCTGAATTCAGTTGTTTGAAAACTGAATTTTTTGTTTTTCATGTATTTTTTTTTTTAGTGAATATTTTTAAAAATTTTGTGGGTGAGAGGTGTGGTTAGAGGTAGTCCGGGAAGATGGCGGGCACTTCAATGGCTTGGGATCACCGGAGGTGGAGAGGAGGAGATCAAGGCAGGCTTGAAGAGGGAGAAGTTGGCAGTGATAGACCTTGAATAAAGCAAGAGACGGTGTTTTAGCATGAGACTTGGCTGTATTGTTGTTGTGTCTCGCTGCATATACGATACATTATATAGGCCACAGGAGTATTGAAGCCCAAGTAAACTGTTGGACAGGTGGCTTGTTCTCCTCAACTCTGCCAGAAGGGATATAAGCCCTTTTGCCGTCTGTGGCTCGACGGCAAGCGGAGAGCAACGTTTCATGGGAGGCGGAAAGTAACGTTTCGTATATGCATCGGATGACATGAACGTAAGGTCCTTGTTGCCTCTTCTCCAAGCATGGTCGAGATAGAGTTGTCTTAGCAAGAAGACAACTATCTTGACGATCCCATGACCTCAGCTGCCAGTCCAGTATCCTCTGATGATCCCGAGCAGTAGTGCCTGGGTCCTGCTCCCAACCCAGGCATCCAAGTAGGTGAATGGGCTAGGGCCCACCTTAGTATTTAGGAGAGCCAAGGGCTCGCTTCCAGACGACCAAGTAGGAGGATGGGCCGCGGGCTTATCTCAATGTTAAGGTCCTTGTTGCCTCTTCTCCAAGCCTGGTCGAGATAGAGTTGTCTTAGCAAGAAGACAACCATCTTGACGATCCCATGACCTCAGCTGCCAGTCCAGTATCCTCTGAAGATCCCGAGCAGTAGTGCCTGGGTCCTGCTCCCAACCCAGGCATCCAAGTAGGTGAATGGGCTAGGGCCCACCTTAGTATTTAGGAGAGCCAAGGGCTCGCTTCCAGACGACCAAGTAGGAGGATGGGCCGCGGGCTTATCTCAATGTTTAGGAGAGGGGCTCGCTTCTAAGCGACCAAGTAGGAGCATGGGCCGCGGGCTTATTTCAATGTTTAGGAGAGCCAGTGTCTATCAATCCAAGTCCAAGAGAATTGGGGGCTGATTGTATTGTTGTTTGGTCTTGGAGCGAGGTATGAAGAACCATGCACCCTGCGGGGCCATGGTGCTACCTGTTACAGGGCTCTTCATATCTAGATATATTTGGGCTAGTATATATGCTCCCGTTTAAGCTAAGCATATAGTTTTGGTTGCCTTGGCACATGGCGCCCATAGGGCTCGCCATGTATCAAACATACGACATGCCCGACGTGGTGCCTTATTGGTCTGCCATGTGGGTGGGGTTTTGGTGATGTGGCACCTGTAGGGCTTGCCACATATTGAGCTTGATACAAGTACCCACAATAATGCCCCCCCTGTACAGATGCTCTTATAGCTAATGAGAGTATTTGTACATGACTATGTTAAAAAATTTTCAAAAATATTAACTCATGCAGACAAATATTCAGATAGAGTCGTCTAAAATTAAGCTTTTGATACAATAGGGGCATTTGGATTACTCATGAGTTTACATTTTAAATTTCATCCGGTGCGAGCCGGCCGGATAAAGATGTGGGCTTGTTGGGCGATGGCTTGATTCCGCAGAATTTCCACTACTTAACAGGAGATTTCGGCTTCGTTCCATAGGCACCTGATTCCGCCCCTCACCCTTTGCATGCCGCTAGGAGGGGGGCAATGGTCTTGGTGTTAGGAAAGCCCATGATTTGGCTCATGAACTGGGCCTCGCTTCTCCTTTTTTTTGTGTTTGTGATGATGACGAGGTGGAAGTGTCCGCTAGAATGTAGGTGCATGTAGTGTTAGAGGAAGTTAGGGCGAGCGACGCCATCAATGTTGAAGAAGAGGATGTTAAGCGGAATGTTGTAGGGGATGTTTGGCTGAGCACTGCAGGAAGCGCTCTCTTCTCCCATGTTGATATCTGCAAAGCTCTCTATGTCCCACCCAAGTCCCAAATCTTCATTTGGGTTTTCCAATGGGTTGACATGATGGAGATGTGGTGGTCTAGATCTCTCTCTGTCTGTCTTTGCAAGGGATGTTGATGCGGATCCTCTCGAAATGTGGGACTAACACTTGATTTGTCTGGCAGGTGGATCCCTGGAGAGTGAGGTTGATTTCTTGATTTAACAAAAACCAAGTATGGGACAGTGGTATTGTGTAAAGTTCTGGAGTGATTAGTGCCTTGTACCATCCTCTTATTTTACCCCGGAATTCTTCCGGCACCTCTACGACTGTATGAGCAGATATTGGGTGTTGGATCCAAGGGGATTCGAATAGCTGATCTTGGAATTGCCATGGAGGCATGGAGAGCATCTTTCAAAAGAATTCACACACCGGGCGGCGGCGGTGAGTAGGAGTCGAGCTTGAAGCTCTAGAGTTGAAGCTTGAAGCTCTATAGCTTGGACCTCTTGGGTTTGGAGCCTTGTTCACCGGCCGCCAAACGGTGTTATCTTGGTGTCCCTCTCTTCCGGAAGCCATTTAGAGAGAATGGGTTGTTGAAGTTAAGAGGAGAGTGTTGGCAAGTGAATATGAATTTGCTTGCGTTTTTTTTTTTTTTTTTTTGGTGTTGTTGTCCTGCATTTGTGCTCTTATAAAAACGGGGTTGCATCAGAAAAGGGGGGTGAATTAAACAGATATACTTAATCAATTCTGTTCCAGATTTCAGTCAATCAGTTCAGTACTTCAATCAATTCAGTTACCAATCATAATCGGTCTCAGTTTAGCAGTAATTAGTGGTTAATCGGTAAACAGTGACGAGGGTTGTTACACATGGTAGCGTGCAATAGCTTTTTGGAGAGTCTAAGATTGTTGCAGTCTGTGTTTAGTGTTTATAATAAGCAAAGAGATTTTTTTTTATTTTTTTATTTTTATTGGTTTAAGGATTTTTTCTTGGGAAGGTACAACCTCAGAATAAATTTATTTAATCTTTTTTATTATTATTTTTATTATTATTATTATTGGAACTTCTCGTTCTACTCGAGCATTGCATTTTTGCCACATAAAACATTGTGTATATTCTGGGTATAACTTGAACTTGTTCGAACCATTCGAATAGTGAGCTCGCCTTTTTGTAGAAATAAGGACTCTATATATATACATACATACATACATATATATATATATATATATTTTTGAATCAAGATCTCTGTCTAAAGTTGGTTGGCTGCCTAAGTTGTATTCAAGCTTTTAGAGAGAACCAGAGGTTGTCGTTGGTGGATCGCGAGAGTGGGGAGTGGTGCAGCAGTGGTGAGTCACACTGTCTCGAATTGAAGCAGATTGCGACATTGGAGGTTCGGTTTCTGGGTATAGGAGAGTGGCTAGATTTTTGTATTGTTTGTTTGAGGGTGGTGAATCGAACTTCTAAGTCGCGAAACGGGAAGAGAGACGAATCGGGCAGAGAGAGAAAGGAGGGCAGAAGAGTGCTGTGAGTCGCGAAAGTCGCCGTTAGGTGAGCCGTGGAGGTGCTGCGAGGCAATTGGTTGGGTTGTTGGATGTTGAGGTGATTCCGGGTTGGCTGCTCAGGTTGGGTTCTTGCCGATCGCAAGTGGGTTTGGGTCTTGATTGAGGAATCTGTGCGTGGGTCGTTGACAGAGAAGGGCTGGGGTGTCGACCTGTTTGATTCAGTGGAGGTGGGTTTGTAAGGGTTATTGCTATTGGTGTAGCTTGAGAGGAGTAATCGAACCAGGAAGGGGGAAAAAGAAGGGCAGCGAACACTTCCGGAGCTCATCGCGATTGGGGCTTCCGTGGGCTTGAAAGGTATGTGTGTTGCTCAGTTGAATTTTATATATTGATATATATATATATATATAAAAGGTATGGGTTGTGATAAAAAAAAATGTTGGATAGTCTTAAAGGAGGTGAGCCATGTATAATATACATATATATAATAAAAAAATGTAATTTTAATTTTTTTTATTTTTTATTTTTTAATGATGATGAGACAAATCAATAAAATGTTATTTTGGTAAAGAGTCAAAAGGTTGGAAAATTGTAGAATGAATAACAAATATTGGAGAGGTGTAAGCTTAGGAAATAATAATGAATTGGTAGAATAAATATTGGAGATGTGTAAGGTTAGAAAATAATAATAAACTGTTAGAATAAATGTTGGAGAGCTATGGAGTTGGAGACATGAACTTGGCAAAATTTTAGGATTGTATTGAGAGCTATGAGAGAATAAATATATATATAAGTTTTTTTTTAAATTATTTATTTAGCCTTAGCGAGGGGAAGAGTTTTTTTTTTTTTGGTAGGTTGTATATCAAAAAAGTTGAAATGAGGGGAAGTAAAGATGAATGCGAGGGGTGGAGGGAGTTGCAAGGGAAATGAAGATGAGTGCAAGGGATGGAGGGGAGTTGTAAGGGATGGGTTTTGTTATGCGAGGGAAAGGGGCTATCTCAAAATAGTGTCTTAGCCTTAGAGAGGGGAAGAGTTTTTTTTTTTTTTTTGGTAGGTTGTA